ATCGTTCCGTAATCGTCAAGAATTCCCGCGTACAATGACATAAGAAACATCCTGTATATTAAAAAGATCTGGAGGAATGTATTCACCTTACTAAAATTACTAAAAAAAAATTTTTTTTAATATTTTTGCATATTATTTTATTAAATACACATTTTATCATTTTATAATCATTTAATTAATAATGGATATTTATTATTAATTTAATACTTCATATTAACATATGTAGATATAGTAGAATTTTCCGAAGTAGATTCAACTGTTTTTTTTAAATAACTGTCTAATTTGGGCAGTTTAGCATCTTTAAATTTTTGTTCTATTATTTTTTTGCGCTTATGTGCTCCACTCATAGGTTTACTCATTTTAAAATACAAATTAAAAAAAAAAAATACACTTGAATAACAACTATTCAATTAAAACTGAATACGCGCACACGAACAATAACGGCTACACGAAAATAAAATCGAAATATAAGCGATTGTCATCGACTGACCGACCGACTACTACAAACTTTACGAACAAACTAACAAAATAAAGATTTCAAATAATATCAAAACGATAACGTAATGATTAATGACAGACGGTCGATTGATGGCCGGTCTATTAATAAATATATGTTAGGAATAAAACCCAACGTTTAACAGTAATGATAAAACTTTAAACCTCATATTTTTTTTCTGTAGTATCATATCATGAACATTACGTAATACGTTGATATAATAATATTCATACCCATATCGCCTACCTCAGCGAAAAAGGTCGTATCTTACAATTTTGAATTAAAGAAAAGAAATGATTTGTTTAATAGTATATTATAATAGAAAAATATAGGTAGGTAGTTTTAAATTTTTATTAATAATTAATAGAAAAAATTGTTTTATTTCCTTGGGCCCCACCCGAACGGACCGCACCCTCTGATCCCTCTTAGTTACTCCACTGTGCCATAATGAACATTATAAGGTATATATTAGGTGATAGGTGTTTTAATTGCATTGATATAACTTATTAATATTTAATAATATTATAATCTCATTAATAATAATCATTATTATTCATCCATCTTGAATTATATCTGAAAAATAAATATTTTTATTAAAACTCCTTGTAAGACAAGAATAGGCAATAGAGTAAATATAAGCGCTAAGCGTCCGGGAGCTAACTTCACAGACATTTTTGTCGAACGATGAATTTGTTTATTTATGAACATTATTCATTAATTTTGTTTTTGTTTAACTATTGCGAATTTCTTATCAACTTATTATATAATTATCTAACTAGATTCATTTTCATATCAGAAAATATGCCAAATTAGAAAATCGGAGCAATTTTAATGCCCCAAAAGGTGATGACAAGCAGAAAAAAAACATATCATTCTAAAAATCAATAGGTTCAATCAGTAGGTAAATTCGTTCGTTCCACTCCGAATCAAAATTATTCAATAGTTATTAATAATAATTTATGAGTCGTAAAACTAACCCAATATTTTTTTTTCTTGATTTGTAATTTACTAGCGCACTTCGTTGCCCGTAAAAATTGTGATTGTTTAACTGCTTTTGTAACTCATTGCAGTCTAAGACACCCTTGTAGACAATGTGCGAAAATTCGATTGGTTGCATGCATGTACCTGATCTTTTAGGTATTACACAGTTTGGAAACAAAATAATGACACAACGTTATTAAAACGACACACTTTATTTGGTTTCGGTTACAAAGACAATGTTATTAAGACAATGTAAGAAGTGCGACGACGATGGTCAGGCAAAAACTGTACGCGGGTCCGCCGATGGCCGGCGACGGCCGGATCGGTTGTCAGTCGCGCTCTCGCGGACGTCGATAGAAACGTTGTGATGTCGACCTCAAAATTCAGTAGTGGTGGTAAACTGTGAAAATAGCAGTGACTGCTACTTTACAATAATATTTTAAAATCACAATATTAAATAATTGCTAGGTACTTGCCAGATATTGTTATTCCAAGTAACTGCTACTGAAAAATAGTGACTGCTACTAATTACTATTTTTTTTTTTTTTACGAGTCGGGACTAATAGACCAAACTAATTACTATATGACCCATGTATTAAAATAATAAAATGATTATAAGTATTTTAGGATAGAATCGCTGTGTAATATACTAATGTGCAGTGTGACTCGGGTTACCCTACAGGCAAGCTAAGAAGGTGATTTTAAAAAAAAACTGTGGACTTAAAAAAACGTATACCTATAATATTATATTATAATTAAATACCGGATTTATATGCATTTTAAATTGTAAAATATGCATGCAAACATGCACTAATAAAAGTCAAAATATGCAAGGAAAAAATGCAAAACATGCAAAATAAAATTTCAATTTGTATTCAATTTTATATTTGATTTTAATTTTGCAGTGATAATTATTTATAAATTGTATTACATTTTTCAAAAACAAAAAGTAACATGTATAATATAGTACAAAAATGTAATTTTTTGTTAAATTGTAATTTAATTTTTAAACATTGATACCTATATTGTAAAAAATATTTTATTAAAATGAAATAGTAGATACATTGGTGATATAAATAGGAAAAAAGTACGAACAATTTTATTGAAGGTATTAAATTATTAATTTGGAAAACAATAAGTTATCAAAGTATGTTCCATGTTTATTTCCTTGAAATTATGACGGCGATCTGTAAGAATGTACTTGTATGATGAAAAACTGAGTGATTGCTGATTGGAGCATATTTAAAATTTGCTAGTATATCCGACGAATAATTTGGAACAGATAAATCGTCGAAATTAGCTTGAAGTATTTTCGAAATTTCTTTTAAAACCATTAATCCTTTATTTTTATTCAAATGTTTTTACATTTTGTTTTAATTATTGTACTATTTGCACTAGTAGGAAGTTCATTTACAGAGTTTTCCACTTGTTCTAAAATTTTAAACGAGTCTACACGGGGCAAATTAGAGGTTTCAAGCTTTTTGATATTTTCAACGATACATAAAAAATTTGCTTTAATGTAAGCAAGATCATATTTTACATTTAATTTATTAAAAATTGATTTACAATTTTGAATGCATTTTGCATTATCTTCTAAGTTTTCAATCACATTTTTGAACTCTTCTAACTGATCTGCGTAAAAAAAGGATGACTCTAGCCAACTGCCAAGTACCCCAACGGGTAATTATTGGCTGCTGTGGTAAATGTGTTTTTGGCAACATTTCTTTATATAATTGAATTCTATACGGAGCCTTAGAGAAAATCTTTTTTCCATTATTAATTAAATCATTAATGTCACTAAAAGTACCTATAATTTTTTTGGCAATTCGGTGAATACCATGTGCGACACAAGTTACATGTACAAGATTCGAATAAAATGGTTTTAAATTTTGTGCAGCTTTCATCATATAAGGAGCAGCATCAGATAACATTATCATCAAACATTATCACAAAACTTTATCATCATTGTTACCTTCAATAGTTTGAGAGAATTGTTTACAAATTGTGCTATAGTTGAATTATTGGTTTTTTGATTTTTCAAGAACTTTCCATGTTAAAAGATACGATTTAGAAGGCAAATCGGCATTCAATTTACCAACAGTAAAATTTGCAACATATTTCCCACGAGGATCAGTAGTTTCATCAACAGAAAAAAATATGTATAAGCTGCCCATGAGTTCTCGAATATTTTGTAAAACGTCTGTGTAACATTGATTTAAATAGTTTTTTCTTAATGTACTTTCATCTGGTATATATTTTTTTGTGTTCTTTTCCAAAAAAGATTTATAGTTTTTATTTTGTAATTTATGTAAAGGTATGTTTGAAGAAATTAATGTATTGCAAAGTTCTTTGAAAAATTGTGATTGATTTTCTATGGATGTTGTCATGTTGATGCTTCTTGAACAAAGGATTGTTTAGAAGAAGATTTGTTTAAACATTTTTCATGCAAAACTGATTTTGCATGATGATCAATTATTTTAAATTTTTTTTCTGCTGTTTCTGATTTTTGACAATTTTGACAGAAAACTGTTGTATTATTTAATATTTTCAAAACCTCACCAGAAATATTGTACGGCTCAATCCATTTTCTAATTGATGCAAGTTTTGAATTTCTAATTTTGGGCATTTTAACTATTTAATAATGAATTGGTAAGCTACAAAATAATTACTGTAGAAAAAACACGTAGGTACACTCAACACTCACGTCTTGTCCATAACGTAATTCTTACTAACAATAATTATTGTCTTAGATAAATGTAGTAGTGGTTGTAATATAATATGTTGTTGTACAAATTATGCTGTTTAGGGCATTTTATCAACAAGATTAGATAAAATAGGTAAAGTCATATCTCCACTATAAAACCCGTACAACAACCTATGGTCTATGGAAATATTTTTAGCGTCTGAATATTCTTTGAGACGTAAAATATTTGATATTATAATATTATATAAACAAATTATTATGATCTGTGTTTTTATTTGTATATTTGTACGGTTTTTGTTAAAATATGCAAAAATATGCAGTATAAAATTTTGATATTAATCAATCAAGTAATGATTTGTGGACACTCATTGACTGCATGTATATGATGTTGAAAATAGCAACATGCATTTTATGCAAAATCCGGTCTTTAATTATAATTAATAGGTATTTGCCTTTAGGCGAGACATAATTGATACATTTGCAAACCTCAAAAGCTGAACGAAAATAATTAAATTTTTGTTAAAGAATAATTGAATTAACAATATATTTCTTTATCTATTTTGTTTGATAAAAAAATGTTGATGATGAAAGAGTGGAAAATGTCGTGTTTGTAAGCGGAAAATTGCTTAATCTGCCACTCACCTATTTATGTTTATTTATTTATTATTTACAAAGGTCAAAATTTAGATACAAATAATAAACATTTAATGTGTATAGAGTGAGGATATTTCTATTTTGTTAGTGTTGAATGTTTAGACAGCACACACTACCTATTAAAAATTAGGAACTTAATGTTGTTTTATTGTAAAACAATTCAAAATGAGTCAAGATAGGAGAACGAGTGACATTTGGAAGCATTTTTCTAAAGTTAACTCAAGTTTAGCTAAGTGTGATATTTGTAAAAAAAATTATTCATACAAAACTAGTTTGTCAAACTTAAAAAAGCATCTCAAAAATGCTCATTTCATATATTTATATACAAAAACTGATACATTACAGGTAACCTTTACACTAAATAACATTAATTTCAAATTTGCATGCAACTTAAATACACAAAAAGTAGTAGAAGTTTTTTTTTTTAAATTTGTTTAAAATTAGTTTTTAAAATATTTTATTAATTTATATAGAATGAGCCTGCAGTTGATATTGACGATCCTGTACCTAGTTCTTCATGTGTTAAAGTAGCAAAGGGTCTAACTGCACTGACTGAACCAAGCTGTAGTAGTGGTAGTATTGTTAATCAGGCAAATGTTGTACATGAGATAACACCAATTTCAAAATCTAATCCATTAAAACGTAATAGACAGTTGGCAATTAAAAATTTTACTCCCAAAAAAAATTCTGTTGATGGCCAAAAAAAATTAGATACTGCACTCATGAAACTTTTTATAAAATATCTACAGCCTTTTAGTGTAGTAGAAGACACAGGGCTTAAAGAGTTTGTAAATATGTTAAACCCAGGCTACAGGATTCCCAACCGCCATACCATTTCCAAAACACTTATTCCAGCAGAGTATGAAAAATGTGTGAATGAGGTTATATCAACAATATTAAATGAATTAGACATGGCTTGTTTAACGAAAGAATGCTGGACGTCTAAGGATAACAAAAGTTACATTGCCATAACTGTCCATTTTATTAACAACAATTTTAATTTGAAGTCTATATTATTAAGTTGCCTTTCCTTTATTGAGAATCACACAAGCGATAATCTTTCTGAGCAAATTAATAAAACTTTAAATGAGTGGAATTTAAGACAAAAAATAGCATTTGCTGTATCTGACAACGGCTGTAGCCCATTTGCGCCCATTTTGCATGCAACGTTGCCGTTGCTGTTTAAAAATATACAATGCTATGTAAAATCAAAATTAAAAAAAAGTAATAATTTTAAAAATAATGTTAAATACTAAACAGTATACATATTATTATATACATAAATACTATTTATATTGTATTAAATTATAAATTTCAAATAGAAACATTTTTATCAAAATAATTAATAAATACAATTACAATAATATCACATATACATCTAAATTTTAAATATTATTAATAATCCATTAAATCAAATTTATATAGAACCAAAATAAATAATACATAATAGTTGTCACTTTGTCAGTTGTCGTTTAAGATTGTTTAAAAATATACAATCCTATGTAAAAAAGGCAGGTAAGTGGATGTCGCTCAGCTGTACAGTAGGTTACAAGTTGGTCATTGTTTAATGGATTGTATTAAACTTGAATTCAATGATATAATATCATTGTATAAGAAAAACGATTCTGAACGGAGACGGTTTGTCAGTCTGTATATTTTATATTGTCATTAATTATTTTATTTATTTAATTATTATTTTTTTTATTCGTTGCTACGGTGATAAACAAATTGTTAGAAATTAAAATCCCATTTTAAGCGGTTTTTCGTAATTTTTCAGTACTTTTTCCCGTGGCATTAAATAACTATTGAGAAAATCGAAAAATGACCTCTCTAAAGTACCATCTAGGTCCAATTTGCTAAAAGATAAGGTACTATATGTTGAAATCAAAGCACTCCTTCTGGTAGAAATTTTGTATACAGGATATAAAAAAAAAAAGAAGAAAAAAAAAAAAAAATAAACACCATTGTAAAACCACTAACTTCCTTGCTCCGCTCAGAATCTAAAATAATCAAAATTAATAATATAGGTACATTAATCAATAATAAGAATGTTAATAATACAAAAAATAATTAAATTATAATAATATTAAAATAATAATACAGTTATTATAAATCGATTCCCCGAAATTTATAAGAAATTTTTTTTAAATATTCTATTTTATTTAAGTGTTTTCCTCTGTAGGTACTCATTCCACGCTTCATAAGTAAGTTACATTTTTTCTTTTTCCTCTTTACGTCGTGGTTTTATTTTACCCTTCTTGATTTCATTTATTTTTAGATATGATTCTACTTGAATAAGTTTTAAATTTTCAATTACACTAGTCAATGGAGGATGAGGTGAATAAAATTGGGAGTTAAAGTGCTTGTAAAATGATTCAGCGCAATTTGTGGTGCGAGGTGCGCCTATTGGAGGTTCAGCCCAAATTGATGGTGGAAATGGACATCCTTTAATGATATAGTTATTAAATACATAATCAGAAAATTCGGATAAATTTGTCAAATTGAAATCTGGAGTTAAGTTTTGTAAATCAAAATAAGCATCTTCCACTTCATTTGACGGTAAAAATGGTAACCAAAAAAATAATGTTAACCATTTAGCGATATCGTATGACCGATTCTTGTACAATTTTTTAAGATCTGACAAAGAATTTGTTTTTCGGTACCAAGATTGACCTAAATGAAATCTACAGCCTCTTATTTTTCTGTATGGAAATACATTTAGAAATGCTTTGTGTGCTGCGATTTCAAAATCTAAATGGATTGATAATGGTGTAAAATTTAGTTACAATCCAATATACTCAATAAATGGCAACGTTGCACGATTTTCACCTGATCTGAATCGGGCGCAAATGGGTTGCGCCGCTGACAACGCCTACAACATTCAAAATGCATTAGGACAGTTAAAATTTAAACATTTTAGTGGTTTTGCTCACACTCTAAACCTTTTTGTTCAATCTGCACTTAAAAAAGAAAATTATCTCATTGATAAAGTCAAAAATATTTGTACTCATTTTCGTAAGAGTACAAATGCAAATAATAAATTAATTGCATACCAAAAAAATATGGGGGTCAATGTCCCACTAAAAGTGTTACAAGATGTCAGGGGTATACAACTCTATAGCAAGTAGCTGCATTAGCCTGATAAGAATATTACGAAATCAGAATGCCAACTGTATTATATGTACACAAGTTACCATAAGTTGGTATAGCAAAAAACCACATTGGCATATTTTGGCACATTTATTATACTATTTGTGTAATATGAAAAATGTTGTTCAAACCTCAAAATAACACAAACACATTAACATAACACTATTACTATTTACTAGTTACTACTATACTTCTATAGTTCTATCAGTTTTGAGTTCATATTAAGTGTTAAGTCCAATAATTATTGATGTAAGTACTTTTATTTAAATGGTAATTAAGAATTATTTTATTTCTTTATGATGTATTTCACTCATCGTAGATGCCATCCAAAAATTGTGTTGTTGTTGGTTGTGATACGACTTACAAAGACAAGTCTACAATACGACATTTATTTCCATACAACGATGAAACTTTGTTTTTAAAATGGGTTCAGAGTACAGGAAATCAAAAATTAAAATCGTTAAGTGTACAACAAGTGCGTAAATCATTTGTAATGTGTTCAAAGCATTTTGAAGATAGTTGTACAAGTGCTGGAACTAAAAAACTAAATCGAAATGCTGTTCCAACATTATTCTTGCCAGCTGGTTTGTATTTATACAATAAACCATAATTTGTAATTTGTGAGCATGTTTATGTGTATGGTGTATACTTAGTACAACTTTGTATATAATTTATCAGATTCTAACATAGTAATACCTATTTTGTAATTATTATAACACAATTTTATATATTCTAGTGGTGAATATAATTTTCTAAAATCAAATATAATTATTTTTTATGTGTTCTATGTATTTGATAATCACATTTTGATTTGAAACATGTGTATTTAAGTTGTGTATTAAATGTCAGTGTAAAATTGTATTTGTTGTATATTAAATGTTAAAGTTTTGGTTTGTTAACAGTTGAATCTACTATTTGTGTACGATTTGCTTCTTGTGATTTAATTAAAAATTGTGTAATGTGTTATATGTTATGTTTATGTTATATGTGTGTCTAATGGTACCTAATGAAAATTAACAATAAATTGTTGCAAACATTAATATTGAGCTCTCTAATAATTATTTACCTAAAAAATGATGAAGAAAAATTTCCATCAACATTGACAGGTATATTAATTTCACATTTGTATATTATATTTTTATTTACATTTAAATTATTATAATATATCTCAAATAATTAGAACTTAATTATATAAGAGATAAAATGTACTTGTGTTTTTAATATCTAGGTGTCCTATTACTTTTATATTATAACTCAATTATTCTTGTGTATTAGATGGAATTGATGGTGTAATGTGTTTAGACAAGTCTGAAAGTATGATTCAGGATTCCACATCTACATCTGAAGTCACAGGTAAAGATGATTATAATACATTTATTTCTGAATAAAATTTGATTAGTTGAACAATATATTAATTTATTGTTTTTACAGTGCTCAACACAATGCTACCATCTACAAGAAATATCTTAGTTTCAGGGTCTACGGATGTATTAGGTTTGTATATTATATTTTTATTTACATTTAAATTGTTATGAATACATCTCAAATAATTAGAACTTAATTATATAAGAGATAGAATGTACTTGTGTTTTTAATATCTAGGTGTCATATTACTTTTATATTATAACTCAATTATTCTTGTGTATTAGATGGAATTGATGGTGTAATGTGTTTAGACAAGTCTGAAAGTATGATTCAGCATTCCACATCTACATCTGAAGTCACAGGTAAAGATGATTATAGAACACGTTTGTTTTTACTCTAAGAACATTAATCTAGTTAAGTTAATTTTAATTTCTGAACAGGAAAGAAAAAGGGATCTACATTAAGCACATTGAAACATATAAATGTACGACGTAGGGTGGATTTGACACCCAGGAAGGGTCGTATTTATGATGCCCTTAAAGAAGCCAAGAAGAAAAACTCTTTACTTAATTATCGGTATAGTGCTTTCAAAACACGCTTGCAAATAGCTGAAAAGTATATGAATGATCATAGAGAATGTTTGAGTAAACTTAATCATGTTACTAGTACATTCATTAAATCACAAATCAGAACACAATCAAAAAAGCCACAGGGAAGACGATTCACACTAGATGACAAAATATTTGCACTTTCATTATTTAAGCAAAGTGGAAAAGCTTATAGGTTACTCCAAAAAGTGTTTGCTTTACCATGTAAGAGTTCGTTGATGAGTTTATTACAAAAAATCCCGTTTGAAGCCGGAATAAACAAAAAAATATTTCATCATCTAAAAAAAACTGTCAGCAAAATAAAAAATCCACTTGACAAATATTGTACAGTAATTTTTGATGAAATATCGTTATCTGCAGGACTTCAGTACGTGCCACACCAAGATAGGGTGATAGGTTTTGAAGATCTTGGTAATAATAAATCAAAACCATTGTTTGCTGATTGATAAAGCTTTGACATTTATGGTTAGAGGAATTCGTAAAAAATTCAAACAGCCAGTTGCTTTTATGTTTACTAATAGCTCAATGAAAACACCAGATCTTGTAGTTGCTATAAAAGAAGTTGTTCAAGCAGTGCAATCAACTGGGCTTGTAGTGGCTGCACTTGTATGTGATCAAGCATCTACTAATGTGGCAGCTATTAATAAATTAAAAATGGAAACAAAAGAAATGTATCTACGACTCGGCAAAGAAAAGCAAACTTTTGGTTTTGAAATTGGCAACCAAGAAATTGTACCATTATTTGATCCGCCGCATCTATTGAAGTGTATGCGCAACAACTTAATAACAAAAAATTTAATATTTTCTGATAGTGGAATAAAACGAGTAGCAAAATGGGCACATCTTACTCAGCTATATGAATTGGACAAAACAGAGTCAAATATCGGTGATCGTATCAACCCAAAGTTAACAGATGCACATATTTACGTTGAAAAAATGAAAAAAATGAAAGTTTTACATGCCGCACAAGTTTTTAGCCAGCGAGTTGGTTCTATAATGAAACTTCTTGCTACATGGTCAGGTTAGCTAAATTGTTTAAAGAATCAAATATGTCTGTAAAAATAAATAGTTTTTAATTTTATTAATTTTTGTTATAGCAAGCTCAACGGTAAAACAACTTGATCCATCTGCTG